TTTTTTTTTTTCCTCATCTCCACAATGCACATCATCCCCCAGTTGGGCCTGATATTCAAAAGCATACAAAGGGGCCTCTGGCTCCACAAGCAGAGCATTAAGCCAGATTTTTAAGGTCTTGATAAGGAGAATTGGGATGAAGAGACAGTAAGAGAAAGCCAGGCCAGCATAAGTGACCAAGAGCTGAAGGAAGCTTTTGAAATGGTTGCTACCAGTAGGGAAGAAGGTTGTCAGGGACATAGTTACTTTAGGGTCAGGCAAGAATACACCAGGCCAGAGCCCTTCCCACACTATGACTATGGGTTCCTGGAGTCAGGAATGGCTCAGGAAGCAGCCTGTGCTGGGACCATTCCCTCACTACTAAAGAGATGCCCCGGAAGTAACATTTCCCTCTCCTGGAGATGGGAGATCGTACTTGCTTTCAGACCCTGTGAAATCCCTGAACCAGCTCTGACTCTCTGGAACACAAGTTTGGTGAACATGCTCCAGCTTCAGAACAAGGTCCACTTTTAGATGCTGGGAAGCCTGGTCCTCTCTCTGTCTCACAGTAAACACTGATGTTTGTAACATTAGAGCCACTGCTCTCCCCGAATGTTCAGGGCCTCTCTTTCCCTCTCCTATTGTTCTTAAAAATGGAAAGTAAAATACAAACCTACAGTGTACCCTGAAGTCCCTCTGTTCCCTGGTTGTTGATGCCTTGTTTATTTTTTTTAGTGCTTTCCAGCTGGCCTACCCCATTGTTTGATTAATCTGAACTTAACCTAGAAACCTAAATCCTTTAAAACCAGAGACCTCCTTCCCAGGCCTTTAAATAGACAAGACTAAACTGGGATTTCATTTCCATTCAAAATAGGAGAAAAACGTAAAGGAAGAAAGAACCACATGTAGGAGAGAGATGTGAAGAAACTAGTGAAAATGAACAAACAAGGGTGGCAAGGAACACTAAGAGGAAAGAGAATGATTTTGTGTAGGACAAAACCTAATAACAATATTTGTCTTAAGTCATGGTTTAAGAAGAAAATATTGGCTCGGC